CATTTACATGGGCAGGAATCTCAAACCACGTACGGAAATGCATGAGGATCAGAGGGATTACCTATATATGACCCTATTTGGGCAATGATATCACTACTATCCCCTTCCCTTATACAGCTTTACTGGTGGCACCACCTCTCAAACTTGAGCTCAGTGGGGCTACACTGCATCCGTGCACCGAATGCTTGGGCATGGTCCTGCTGCAATGTAAAGTTGCCATTTGGCAATTTAAAAATAGAAGCAAGAAAAAAAAATCCTCCTGAACGCCTGTCAGCCACTGCTATACCAACCTCTGAAAAGCGATCCATGGTGCCAGTACCACAAGCCTACCAGTAAGCAAAATTTTAGGTAATTTTGCTACAAAATCAGTTTTGCTCATATCTGATTACCAATAACCTGCGCAGTCACATGGGAGGGAGTCTCATGTTCCCATACCTGCAAGTACCAGCAAGTATTTTCTTTGCACCTCATGGGGTAGTGGGGTGGAGAAGGAAACATGACTATGTGCTGCCTGTTGGGCTGCCACTAACATGAACCCAGACAAAAGGTTCTGTTTAAGAATCAGAGCAGAGTGATTTATGCACACTCTGTAATTTTTCAATGGTTTTCTAATTCCCAAGCCCCAAAAAATCAAGGAGCCTAATATTTTCTGTTATGGAAGTCTTAGGAGCACGTAAGGTATTTCATAACTCTCCGTGCTGTTGTTGCTTTTTGCTTCATTTCCAGGACTCGGTACGTTCCTGGGATGTGTTTATTTTCATTGCATTGAATGGATTAGATGGACTTTTACAGATGTTATTAGAAGGGTTTTTAAAGGCCTTTCCAGGATAAATGAAAAGGAACGGCAGCGGCCCCAGCAATATAGATTCTCTCCCACAGTTATCAAAAATACATTCCAGGGAGACATTCTATACAAGCCAAGAGCCCTCACCCGGCAGCCAAAATATACATTTCCCGCTCAGCTCCGACACAAGCAGGTTTATTTATTGAAATGCTTTAATCAGATTTGATTGTAGCAGCTACATATTTTGGATGACTGGAAATAATACTTTACTGACAGCGATGACATATAGGTGACAGAAAGGCGAGATTAGCGGTATACCAGCGTCAAAAATGAAAAGCTTTCAATCAAAAATGAATTCCATCCAGAACTTTTCATTTTATTTTGGAAAGAATGGGCAGGGATTGAGAACCCCTGTTATGATTTATAGCTGTTTGTGTTGTCTTTGGGGAGATTTCTACTCATTTTCTGTTACAGGTGTCGTTGGGACAAGATGTGAGCTATACAGCAAACTACAACACAGAATGATCTAATCTCTACCAGGAAGTCCATCTGCTTGGAGAAGAATAGATCTCCTAAGTAGTGCCCCATTATACAATTCAGATAAAGGCACTTTACTGGCTCTCCAACAATTTACTTGACTCCAGCTACTTCCATATTTGTCATAATGTTGCCAAGGGAGTCTTCACTGAGGGACAGCCTGAATGCAAGGTTTCCCTATGCATTTAAGATAGCCCTCTCGAAAACTTGAGATCTTTTTATGAAATTCTGCTGTTTGGAGAAGAATAGAACACCTCACTTGTGCCCCATATGAGATCCAGATGAAGGGGTTCTTGGTAATGTACCTGTTCGCCAACAATTTGACTTGGCCCCAGCTACTTCCGTGCTTCTACTAATGCTCCCAAGGGAGCCTTGTCAGAGGAAGTGCCCTCACCGCTAGGTTTGCTCATGCATTCAAGGTAGCTCGTGGGAAAACTCAAGCTTTTTTCAGTAAGTCCTACTGTTTGGAGAAGAATGGACCTCCTCACTTGTGCTCCATGTGGAATCCAGATGAAGGGGCTCTTGGCAATGTGCTGGTTCTCCAACCACTTCTATGCTTCTCCTATTCTCCTAGTGCTGCCAAGGGAACCTTCTTGAAGGAAGCGCCTAATTGCAAGGTTTGCTCATATATTCAAGGTAGCCCTCACAAAAAAACTCAACCTCTTTTTTTAGTAAGTCCTGCTGTTTGGAGAAGAATATACTTCCTCACTTGTGTCCCATAGAGGATCCAAATGAAGGGGCTCTTGGCAAAGTACTGGTTGTCCAACATTTTAACTTTCTCCAGCTGCTTCCATGCTTCTCCTAATGTTGCCAAAGGAGCCTTCTCTAAGGGACAGCCTGACTGCAGGGTTTGCCCAATCATTCAAAATAGGCCTCTAGAAAACTCTAGATTTTTTTAGGAAATCCTTCTGTTTGGAGAAGAATAGACCTCCTCACCTGTGCTCCATATAGAATTCAGATGAAGGGACTCTTGGCAATGTACTGGTTCTCCATCAATTTGACTTTCTCCAACCACTTCCATACTTCTCCTAATGCTGCCAAGGGAGCCTTCTCAGAGGAAATGCCTGACTGCAAGGTTTGCTCATGTATTCAAGATAGCCCTTTGGAAAACTCAATGTCTTTTTAGTACGATCTGCTGTTTGTAAAAAAAATAGACCTACTCACTTGTGCCCCATATAGGATCCAGATGAAGGGGCTCTTGACAATGTACTGGTTCTCCAACAATTTGACTTGGCTCCAGTCACTTCCATACTTGTCTTAATGGTGTGAAGAGATACTTGGGAATGGTGCGAAGAGAGACAGCCTGAATGCAAGATTTGCTCATGTATTCGAAGTAGCATTGATGAAAATCCTACTTCTAGGAAGTCCTGCTGCTTTGGGAAGAATAGGTCTCTCAGCTTGTGCCCCACTATAGGATCCAGATGTTGGGGGATCTTGGCATTGTACCATATCTCCAACAACTTTACTTTTCTTTAGTTCCCCATGCTTATGCTAATGCCACCAAAAGATCTTTCTCTGACCGCAGAGAGGCTGACCGCAAGGTTTGCTCATGTATTCAACGTAGCCCTAATGGATACTCTACCTGTTTTTGCAAAGTCCTGCTGCTTAGAGAAGAATAGATCTTCTCACTTTTGTCACATTATTGGATACAAAAGGGGCTCGTGGCACCAAACCGAATCTCCAGCAACTTGATTGGCTCCAGCACCCTCATGCTTGTCCTAATAGTGTAACCAAGAGATCCTTTTCTGAGGGAAAGCTTGACAACGAGGATTGCTCATGTACTTACGGTAGTCCTGATAAAAACTCTGCTTCTTTTTGCAGTCCTGCTGCTTGGAGAAGAATAGATCTCTTCATTTGTGCTCCATTATACGCTCCAGATGAAAAAGGCTCTTGGCACCATACTGGATCTCCAACAACTTGAATGCTTCAGTACCCCCATGCTTGTCCTAATATAGGAAGTCCTGCTGCTTGGAGAGGAATAGATCTCCTCAACGGTGCCTCACTATAGAATCCTGAGGACAAGGGATCTTGGCACCCTACTGACTCTTCTACAATTCGACTTGACTCCAGCCATTCCCATACTTGTCCTAAAGTTGCCAAGGGAGCCTTCTCTGAGGGAGACTCTGACAGCAAAGTTTGATCATGTATCCAGCTGCTTGAAGAAGAATAGATCTCAATTGTGCCCCACTGTAGGATTCAGATGAAGGGAACACTTGACATTGTGATGGCTCTCTGACAACTTGACTTGGCTCCAGCCGCTCCCATACTCATGTACACAAGGTAGTCCTCACTAAAAACTCAGCATCTTTATCAGGAAGTCCTGCTGCTTGGAGAAAAATTGATCTCCTCACTTGTGCTCTACTATAGGATCCAGAGAAGGGGGGTTCTTGGCACTGCAATTGTTTTCTAATAAGTTGACTTGGCTCCAGCTCCCCTATGTTTGTCTTAATGCTGCCAAGGGAACTTTTTCTGTGAGTCTGACCGAAAGGCTTACTCCTACTAGGTTCCATCTGGAAAAGTCTTATGGTACTATATGCCAACCCACAACCACATATGACATCTGGCAGCCTTAACTGGTACTGAATTCTCAATTTCCAGAAAGACCTGCAGCAGGAGGCAAAGAGACAGGTGAAGGACCTTCATGGCAGGGTAGAAGGGGTGCCAGGCATATAGAGCAGGGTTTCTCAACCAGGGTTCCCTGGAACCCTAGGGTTCCTCCAGAGGTTGCTATGGGTTCCTTGAGCAACAAGCAATATCCACCTTCAAGATAAGTTCCCACTGACACCATTGATATTTTCAACTATCTATGTGTATCTATGTGTATCTGCAATATGTTTGTGCAAACATCCATGAGATGGTGTACTGCAGCTGGTGGGCTATCAAACTGAATTTGGGCAGCAGATACAGTGTTATTATTTGATGGTGTTTCTATGGCCTTTAAAGACCATTGACCCAAATATACAGTATATTATTTATTCTACTGGTTGGAATCTGGATTAAAAGGCTGCTATGGCTAATAAATCCCACTTACGCATGGTGTCATTTTATTATTGGGTGATTATTGCATTGGAAGGGAGTGGGTAATGGCCTAATGGTTTTAAATAGTGGATACCTTTTTGAAATACTCCCATCATGTGTCCATAATATAGTTCAACTGTAGAGATCAGGGCTGGCATTTTCAAAGCATATTATTATTATTGTTATTATTATTTTATATTTTATTTCATTTATTTTTTTTATTTATTACTTTTTTTGGTTTGTTTTTCACCACCCATATCCTCATTTTTGTTCAGCACTCATGTACTCATTTTTATGCAATTATTTTGATACTCTCATTACGATTGACTGTTTGGTTTTAATTATGACCCCGTAGAGGGGACATTCTATTGATGTCAGATCGATATGAAAACCTTTTATGTTCTTGTTAGCCCAGATGAAAGGGGCACTTAGACCCCCCAAAAACACGTTGGCTGCTTCATGAATTATACCCCTGACCTTTAATGGAATAAAGTTGTATTTGGACCTCATAGCGGTGGTGTGGCGCTGTAATTCCAACCAGGGGCGGACTGACAACTCATGGGGCCCCTGGGCAATAGGGGATCATGGGACCCCTGTGTCCTTGCCCAAACTCAAAAAAGCCTATAAAAAAAGTACCAGTGGCATCTCATGGGGCCCCTACCAGGGGCGGACTGACAACTCATGGGGCCCCCGGGCAATAGGGGATCATGGGGCCCCTGTGTCCTTGCCCAAACTCAAAAAAGCCTATGCAAAAGGTACCAGGGGCATCTCATGGGGCCCCCTACTGACCCCAGGCCCTCGGGCAGTGCCCGAGTTTCCAAATGGTCAGTCCACCCCTGCCCCCTACTGACTCCGAACCCTCGGGCAATGCACGAGTTTCCAAATGGTCAGTCCGCCCCTGATTCCAACTCTTATTATTTTTTCAATCATTGGCCTTGCTGAACCCTTGCCTTGTCAATGCCTACATGACCCAACTCTTGACGTTAAGTAGACCAAAGTCTTTTTTTTTCTAATAGCACACCAAAACTAGCTCTCCAGGATTGCCAGTTGCTCTTCCAATCCTGTATAGAAGACAGACATCCACTTAGCACTCACTTTCAGCAAGTGCATTGGCACAGCCTGTCTATAGAACAGAAGCAGGCAACAAAGGCTAACATTCTTACAATATGTAAAGCTGACCTGTCCAGGGTTACAGTATTATTAAAATAAAAGTTAATACTGATAGAGCTAGAGATGCAATCGCCTTTTCACAGCACTGACACCTTCCCCCCACCCCATCCTTGTTCCCAGAGGTGCTTGTGTTCTTTATGGTGGCTTTCTTGCTTGGCAGAGCATCTAAGCGATGTCATAGCAGCTCAGGTGTAAATGTGTTAAATGGCTCACAAGTGTGAATGTACATTGGCTGATCTGTAGCTCTGGCAGTGAAGAGCATCACAAGTGCGTGCTTGACTCCCGCGGCTTATCACTGTCACACCACACAAGTACTGACAGCGGGAGGATGGTCTATGTAACTGGCCATTGTATGTAAGGCTGGTGGTGTAGTACCAAGCTTTCTCTAGTAGGGAGGTGAATCAAAGCACTTGTATAGGTCCAACATTTTCTGTAGACCTTTGTTGAGAATACTAAACCATTCTCATTGTTTCATCTTCTTATGATTTAATGAACATACCAGAGTTCTCATAGTGTATTTTAACCCAAAAAACAAAAAGCAAACAGAGTTCTTAACCAAAAAGAAATCATCTTCTTATGATTTAATGGACACGCCAAACAGAGTTCTCAAAGTGTATTTTAACCCCAAAAAACAAAAAGCAAACAGTTCTTAACCAAAAACAAAAAAAACTGTAACCACTCTCACCCTGCAAACCCCCTATGGAACAGAGCACTTTACCATTTCTTTACCATTGCTTCGGAAATCATTTCCAATAACATGTACTGTATTTTTCACTCCATAAAGAGACGCACCTGACCATAAGACGCACCTAGGTTTTAGAGGTGAAAAACAAGAAAAAAAAATATATTCTGAACCAATGGACTGCAGACACAGTAGAGTGGGGATGACCATAGACTGCGGACACAGTACAGGAGATGACCAGAGACTGCGGACACAGTACAGGAGATGACCAGAGACTGCGGACACAGTACAGGAGATGACCAGAGACTGCGGACACAGTACAGGAGATGACCAGAGACTGCGGACACAGTACAGGAGATGACCAGAGACTGCGGACACAGTACAGGAGATGACCAGAGACTGTGGACACAGTACAGGAGATGACCAGAGACTGCGGACATAGTACAGGAGATGACCAGCAGACTGCGGACAGAGCAGGGATGACCAGAGACTGCGTACATAGTACAGGAGATGACCAGAGACTGCGGACACAGTACAGGAGATGACCAGAGACTGCGGACACAGTACAGGGATGACCAAGACTGCGGACATAGTACAGGGGATGACCAGAGACTGCGGACAGTGCAGGGGATGACCAGAGACTGCGGACACAGTACAGGAGATGACCAGAGACTGCGGACAGTGCAGGGGATGACCAGAGACTGCGGACACAGTACAGGAGATGACCAGAGACTGCGGACAGTGCAGGGGATGACCAGAGACTGCGGACATAGTACAGGAGATGACCAGAGACTGCAGACATAGTACAGGAGATGACCAGAGACTGCGGAAACAGTACAGGAGATGACCAGAGACTGCGGACACAGTACAGGAGATGACCAGAGACTGCGGACACAGTACAGGAGATGACCAGAGACTGCGGACACAGTACAGGAGATGACCAGAGACTGCGGACACAGTACAGGAGATGACCAGAGACTGCGGACACAGTACAGGAGATGACCAGAGACTGCGGACACAGTACAGGGGATGACCGGAGACTGCGGACATAGTACAGGAGATGACCAGAGACTGCGGACAGTACAGGAGATGACCAGAGACTGCGGACAGTGCAGGGGATGACCAGAGAGACTGCGGACACAGTACAGGAGATGACCAGAGACTGCGGACAGTGCAGGGGATGACCAGAGACTGCGGACATAGTACAGGAGATGACCAGAGACTGCAGACATAGTACAGGAGATGACCAGAGACTGCGGACACAGTACAGGGAATGACCAGAGACTGCGGACACAGTACAGGAGATGACCAGAGACTGCGGACACAGTACAGGAGATGACCAGAGACTGCGGACACAGTACAGAGATGACCAGAGACTGCGGACACAGTACAGGAGATGACCAGAGACTGCGGACATAGTACAGGAGATGACCAGAGACTGCGAACATAGTACAGGAGATGACCAGAGACTGCGGTCATAGTACAGGAGATGACCAGAGACTGCGGACACAGTACAGGGGATGACCAGAGACTGCGGACATAGTACAGGAGATGACCAGAGACTGCAGACACAGTGCAGGAGATGACCAGAGACTGCGGACACAGTACAGGAGATGACCAGAGACTGCGGACATAGTACAGGAGATGACCAGAGACTGCGGACACAGTGCAGGAGATGACCAGAGACTGCGGACACAGTACAGGAGATGACCAGAGACTGCAGACAGTGAAGGGGGGATGACAGAGACTGCAGACAGTGCAGGGGATGACCAGAGACTGCAGACAGTGCAGGGGATGACCAGAGACTACAGACAGTGAAGGGGATGACCAGAGACTGCTGACCTTTGGGGAGGGAGGGGGAGCGGGTACCTGAATTTGACAGGTACCCGCTCCCACTTCCGCGGAGTTGCCTTCCTTCTTCTTCCCGGGCCGGCTTCTGTGACAGCCGGGTGCCCACTGCGCAGGTGCGAGAAGCGCTTCGCTTTGTGAATGGCCCGGCGCCTTCTGGGACCTTTCATGTGTCCCAGAAGACACCGGATCATTCACAAAGCGCAGCACATGCGCAGTGGGCACCCGGCTGTCACAGAAGCCAGCGCGGGAAGACTGTGCAGCGCTGGAGCGAGGAACAGGTAAGGCCCTGCAGGAGACAACAGCTGAGCGGCCGGCCCGGTATTCTGACATAGTGGGCGCAAAAATACCGGACCGGCCGCTTTATATTCGCTCCATAAGACGCACTGAGACATTTCCACCCCCCCCCTTTTTGGGGGGGAAAAAAGTGCGTCTTATGGTGCGAAAAATACGGTAATACATGTAAATCTTTTTCTTTCTTTTTTTTTGCAGGACAAACAAGGCTTTATTTTGGTGGTTTTTTCCTTGAAAAAACAATTATATTTTCAATGCAAACACAAAACTTAAAAAAAATCAAAAAACTTTTTAAAAATATGATTAGCATTAGTTAAGAAAAAGTTTGTATTTTAGATACAAAATATACATTTGATTCTACAATTTGTCCCATTTAGAAGGAAAAAAACACTAAAACAACGATTCTGGTACATTGCAAAGTTTTTTGCAAATTAAATAATCGTTTTTTTGATTTTGTATTTTTTCATAGCAACAAATCAATTTGCAAATGTATTTTATTTTATTTATTACAGATACTATATATAGCGCAATCACAGTATGCAGCGCTTCACAGATATATTATACATTCACATCAGTCCCTAACGGGCGGACTGACACTCATGGGGTCCCCGGGCAATGGGGGATCATGGGGCCCCTGTGTCCTTGTCCAAACTCAAAAAAGCCTATGAAAAAGGTACCAGGGGCATCTCATGGGGCCCCTACTGACCCCGAGCCCTCGGGCAGTGCCCTAGTTTCCAAATGGTCAGTCCGCCCCTGGTCCCTAACCCTCAAGGGGCGTACGTTCTAAGGTCCCTAACTCACATTCATACATACACATACTAGGGCCCAGGGGCGGACTGACCATTTGGAAACTCGGGCACTGCCCGAGGGCCCAGGGTCAGTAGGGGGGCCCATGAGATGCCCCTGGTACCTTTGTCATAGGCTTTTTTGACTTTGGGCAAGGACACAGGGGCCCCATGATCCCCTATTGCCCAGGGGCCCCATGAGTTGTCAGTCTGCCCTGCTAGGGCCAATTTAGAAAGGATTCACTTAACCTACCAGCATGTCTTTGGAGAGTGGGAGGAAACTGGAGGAAACCCACGCGGGCACAGGGAGAACATGCAAACTCTAGGCAGATGGTGCTGTGGCTCAGATTCAAGCCAAAGACCCTAGTGCAGCCAGGCAGAAGTGCTAACCATTTAGCCACTGTGCTGCCCTGTAGTAGTGGCGACTACTATGCTCCATATAATGTCCTTTAGGATGACCATACACTATGCAATCTGATTGTACAATCTCTATATAATCTCGATTAGGCCGACCATACACAGTACAATCTGACTGTTCAACTCACTTTAGATCTAAATTCATACTAATTGAATAGATTGTTTCCGCGTTTCCTCATATTATATAGTTTTGGTAAAGCTGGCCATACACAGCTGTGGATGACCCTGCCCGCCCCCCCCCCCCCCATTAAAATTGTCTCTATTGAAAATTATCAATACTGAATCTATTGATTTTCCCATTGGCTGGATGAGTGCTATCTAGCTTGGTATGGCTTGCTTGTGCAGAAATTGTACAGTCAGATTGCGTAGCATATAGCCACCTTTAGATTTAATAAAACTATGTGAAGGCCTGCCTAAGCAACCGCGTCACTTTATATCTAATCAGACAGGCCCTTGCACTGCATTTGGTAGTTGTCAGTAGATGTAAAGAAGGGATTGTACAATCAGACTGTATTGTGTATGCTCAGCTTACCTAAAATTGAGGTGCAGTAGGCAGGAAGAGGTTGCACACCCAGACTTTGGGAGCTGAAGTCACTATTTGCATACTAGTTTTTTTGGCTCCTGGGATGCCCTTTGTGACTTA